AACCATACTAGCATCAAGTTCAAAATGACTTGCTGCTTTATTTCTTCCCACTTGTTTTGCATAAGTAACAACCTCTTATTTTTGTTTAATAGAATATGAACTACGTTTACGTTTGACCGTTACCATTTATAAAAAAAGTCACAGGATTACGCGTAGTAAGTGCAGAATGCGCATTATACTCAAACGCGCAGTACGCGCGGTTCATTATTAAGGATCGTCATTCGGTCTCACAAGATCGTCATACAATTTAAAAAAATTTTATAAATCTCTCGAAAATAAGCACTCTTATAATAAAAAAGGGGTGCTTATTTTCAAGAGTATACGATAATTCTACAATTCTTTTTTCTAAATCCTTAATAATAAAACTAAAGTTTTTAAATTCTTTAAAACATCTAAGTCGATAACTCCATCAATATCATTTGGTATTGATAAAATAAGATCTACTTTACTTCTAACATAATTATTTATTGATGCTTTAAAAATCTTTACCAGATAAATATCTTTTATCTTCTTATGTAAATAAATTACTATACAACTTTCTTGATTCTTTAATCAAATTTTCAAACAAGATATTCTAATTATTAAAGATATTAATTATTAGTTAAATTTAATTTATCATTTGATATTATCATAAAAAATAAAAAATAAAAATCTATTATGTTTTTTAATAATAATGCTTGACTATAAATAATTTGGATTTTACATTATATTTTCTATACTGAAAAAACATAGAATATAAAATTTTATGTATTTTCTCATAAATAAATCATTTTAAAAAAAATATATATATATTCTAAAAGTTTGATTAGAGGTTCAAGTTGGTAACATAGCAGCATAACTTTTTGTTTAAATAATTGCTGTGTCTGTGAGTTTTTGCCTTTGGGATTCATGGATTGGAAAACTATATCAAAAAATTCCCTAATCTCTATATAGTGACTTTCAATTAATTCTTTAAACTAAGTTACATCCCAAACTGGTAAATTTTTTCACGAAAGTACTTGTATAAAATATTTGTAATCAACCCAATTTTATCTGAAAAGAATTCTGAAAATTCATTTAATTTGAGTGGTACTATAATTTAATGATAAATAAATAATATAATAATTAGATTAAATTTAAAAAAAAAGAAAAAAAAAAAATACCTATTTTTTTCGCTTCCTCCATTTGATTTAATTGAAATTTTAAATCTTCTATATGTTGTATAAGTTCAGCATATGTTTCTTGTAATAAAGAAACTTTTTTTTTGTTTGGAACCTTCTTGATAATATGATAAATCTGCATTCTTTCTTTTTTTTAAATTTAATTATTCCTCGATCATAAACAACCAAATTATTGTAATGTAATTAACATAATTGATCATTAAGGTTGAGATTTAATGTAAGTTCCTGGGCAACAGAACCTTTTAATGCTTTGGCTAGTAAGTTTTCGGTTAATCTTCTAAAGGTTTCTTCGGAGTTTTGCAAGCAACATACAGCATAAGGACCATTATTCTGACGCGTTTTCCTCTTGTCATTGCTAATAGACCAAGTTTACATTAAAATAAGTTCAGAGAAATCTATTTTCTGATCAGTATAATAAAAATAATACTGAACGGTGTTATAAATTTTCGCGTGGCTTTACTAAGTGCCCCTTTTTTGCTTTTTTAAAGTAACACATCAATATAAATTGCCGATCACTATAATTGATTACATAATAATTTTTACCCAATAAAAATGATTCTTAACCATGCTAAAAATAGTATTGAATGTCGTGTCTTTTTTTCGATTTTTATAAAAAGGGTTTTCCATAAACTATGCTATAAGATTTTCTTTTTCACCATGTCCACTGCTACTTCCGAAAGCGTTAATTTTAATGAGAGTCTTAGTGTTCTTATTTCATATTTAAAGGAACGAAAAAACAAATCATATTGTAATTTTTTATTTCAAAATCGAGACATTATCGTTACTTCGGCAATGTTATTCTCGGCAAACTGGGTAGACCTCGACAGTACTTGGAATCGTAAGTTTCTAAAGGAGGCAGAAAAATTGATCTAGGACCAAAGCGCATTAATTGATTTTGAAAAACAAGGTGCGTTTTTTTATTTTACAGAGAGAGGGTAACTCCTGGTCGACCGCGCCTTGATTTAGGAGAATTACTGAATATGACCGATTGGTAATCACTCCAGGACCTCTATTCGGACACCCTATCTTTGTTATTAGTAAAGGTCTGTTTGCTCTGGAGGAGCTACCTTCCTTTATCACTAAATGAAAAAGTCATCGCACTGCTAACAATACTCGGCGAACTAGAGATTTAGAAAGTTATTGGGAAGGAGTGCTCCAAGAATGTAACTTAGTAAGTAAATTAATGTAATGCAATTCCGTTTATATAATTTTACATTTCATTAACAACATATATTATTTCGGAGACGAGAGATTTCTACACTTCAAGAAGAAAAGGAGCATCACCTCCGAATAATTTCTGAACTAGACAAAGAGATAAAAATAAAAAATACCAAGATCGCAGAATTCACGAATAGATGCAATATGGAGGAGAGTTCACCCAACGACAAGTTTAAATTGGTTCTACCTCCCGATTTGTTAAAATCGAGAGATTTTAATTTAAGTTTTGACGAAGGTGAAGCTTCGGGATCAAGATATTTTGACAAAGAAGGTAAAGAAGATAATGAGTTAATGTTTACGGTTCTGGCGAGGGTGAAGCTCCGAAATCAAGAGATTTTGACAAGGAAGGTAGAGAAGACAGCGATTTAAATTTTTACGAAGGCAGAGAAGATAGCAGTTTAAGTCTTGACAAAGAAAGGGAAGACTTTATAAATGTTAGCTACGATGATTATGATGAATCCGACGCTAATAAAAGGAGGTGAAGGAGTGCATCCCCACCTCCAATTAAAGATTTTAATCTTCGTATCAAAAAAAGAATTAACTATAATTATAGTCCTTCGTCCAAAAGGCGTCGTAAAAACAATTCTGTAAGTGATTTATCTAAATTTGCACATACTTATTCAACATAAAGTACTAATCGTATTTATAGGTTTCACAAACGCCTTCACCAACATCACCACCACCAATATCACCGCCGAAATCTTATTCTTCACTATCTCCTTCGCCTATAAGAAGAGTATGTTTAGAATGTCCACTCCATTGTAAAGGAAAGGAGGTCGCTTTCTAACTTATATAGTCCGTAAACAAATATTTATCTCTTTAATTATATGTATTTTTCTTACCCTCTAGCTACAAACTATTTATATCATAATAAAGTTTCGCTTTAATCTAATTTGCAACTATATGGGTGAGATATTGCTTATTTATATTCACCAAAATTTCATTACGTAATTTAATAATTTCTTTGAGATATTTAAACTACAATTTTGCTTTAAATAAAGATTATATATAAAATTACATCAGATATTATCTTTACAATTTGTTAATTAATTTAAAATAAATTTTTATTTAATCTTATATTATTAGTGAATATAAAATATTTTTTAATCCATTAATTTTAATCAAATCAGTTCATGTTAAATTAATTTTTAAATAATATAATTATTTAATACCAAAAATTTTTTTATATAAAGTATAATTAGATCCTCTGAAGATCGATCCAAGATTGGATGGATCGGATCCCTGATTGCCTTATTGATCCACAATAGAATCCACAAATATAAATTTTAGTCTCGACAAAAACTTTTGATATGATGGCTTCCCATTCAGGATCAAAAAATGGAATCAACTCAAGGTTATCATCTGACGCCGATGAAATTTGTCCGATATGTAAGAATAATAGATACCTTACACCTAATATGAAACTACTTGTTAGCGACTGTTATCATAAAATGTACGTATGCAACCGAAGGATCCCAACAATAAAAAAGAAAAAAACACATCATTCCTTACCTAAATTGATAAATCAAATAAATAATAGGTGTGAATCATGTATAGATAGATTATTCGCCAACGGAGCGGGACCATGTCCGATTTGTCAAAGAATTTTGAGAAAAGTTAGTTTTATAGAACCCACCTTTGAAGATTTACGTGTAGAAAAAGAAGTAAAGATTAGAAGGAATTTATCAAAGCAGTAGGAAATTTTTCATTTGTTTTTTATTTCTTTTCCTTTTTTTCCAGGGTATTTTTTTTTTTTTTAAAAAAAAAAAAAATGAATATTCTTATTAGGTTTAATAAACGGCAAGAAGATTTTCAGAATTTACGTTTATACAATGATTACTTGGAAATGGTTGAAGAGATCGGTTTGTGAGAAATTTCGATGTTCAAAATGTCTTTTTTTACGTGATTTAATTAACATGACATTATATTTGTTAGCGTGGAATCTTATCAATGAAGTGAACAAAAAAGAAACCGAAGCTTTGATTGACAAATTTGCTAATGAAAATAAAGAAATAATAGCTCATAATAAACGAAAACAAGATGAAGAAACCAAAATGGTAAATTATCTTAATGAAAAGGAGAAATCAGAAAAGCGTTTGAAATTTGAAAATTACAAAAAAGAATTGGACGAAGAGAAAAAAAGAAGGGAGAAACATGAAGCCGAATTAATCGAAGAACTGGTAAATACATCTCTTGTAGTAAAGGTTCATTCTCATGGAAATTAATTAATCAAAGTTATATCTTATCGTTTAGGCTAATTCAAAAGGTTCTGCGGCCGATATTCTAGCAGAAAAGAAGGCCATGAGAGAAAGTTCCCGTAGTCAAGAACTTAATAATTCACAAATTTATCCTTCACCAAGAGATAATCATCTTGGTTCATGGTATAATAATAATATAGAACCAGTAGAAGATACACAAGAATTTGATCCAATTTCCTCCGAATATTTGGACATTGATTGTTATACACTCAAAGACAAATATTATGATCCGTATCCTTTTCTTTTCTTTTACACGAGATTCATCTTTAATAGAGTTCATTCCTTAACATTTAAAAAAAAAAAGGTATACGGAAATCAATACTCGACTACGTGCTGGTGGATTTGTTCCAAAATTTGTACATGAAAGAGCTTTACAAGCTGCATTTTCTGGACTTTTTACATTTACCAAATCCGATGATATGGAAGTTGAATAAATAATTTTTAACAAAAGGAAAAATGAAAAAAAATAAAATAAAAATTGAAAAAATAAATAAAAAATAAAAATAAAAATTTTAAAAATTAAAATTGGGTAATCAACACATTTATTTATATTGTCAATAAATAAACAATAAATTAAATTAAATTAAAATTAAAATATATATCATTAAATTTTGCTGATCTCTACTTATTAGAATCCTCCAACATCTCTTTGATCACAAATTTATTAAAATCGATAGGATTGTCAAGATAAAGATGATGACCAGCTTTTGGTACTATCTCAATTTTAACGGGCACTTTCATTGAATTTTTGGCTTTCTCGGCGGCACGATAATCCATCCAATCATTTTCACCATACAAAAATGTGGTTGGCATTTTTATTTCATGCAACCTATCAATTAATGGTTTACGAGCAAAAGCACCGGGTTCAAGGATTCTTGTAATAGCAAATTCTCCGCTACCCGCGGCGGTGGAAATGTTATAAAGATAATCATGCAAATCTAATTGATCGATTTCTTCAAGGTGAGAAAATTTATGAGAGGTATATTTCGTAACAAGGGACGGACCGAATGGTCCTAACCAACGCAATATTAGTTGTGGAGTGACATGAGCATTCCATAACTTTATGATCCATCCAGGAATTTGTCTTCTACCATCCTTAAGGTATCCCGGTTCATTTTGTGGATTTCTTGGTACACCAACTGGGGAAACCAATATCAGTTTTTCTACGTACATGGGGTATTTCATAGCGTAAACCGCTGCTAAATATCCTCCTAAACTGTGACCCAATAGGGTCATTTTATCAATTTTATGAACTTTTCTCCATTTTTCAAATGAATCGATAAAAAAATTTTCGGTCTCTTCAACATATTCATCAACGGTTTTCCCCTTTATAATGAATGATGGTCGAGAACTTCTACCCATCCCCAACCAATCTATACTGTAAGTTCTCCACCCGGGTACTTGACTTATTCCATGATAATTCCTGTAAAAAAATCCAAGTCCCCCTCCAAATCCATGACACATCACCAAATTTTTAATTGAAGGATTTTTTTCCTCATTTACTGTCGTTGTATTTGATTGGACCTTCAAATCCGTTTGCGGCATGTCAGTAAATCCAAGTTGCTCATAATTTAAGGTTTCGTCTGAATCGTCAGTATCTGAATTTGTTTTGGTAGAAGAGGAAGAGAGGGATGATAATAAGGAGGAAGAGGAACCATCCTTGTCAATGTCGAAGTCGTTTCCCTTTTGATCTATGACCAATGTATTGATCTTTCTCATCCCATCACCATCCAAGTCCACCAATCCCACTCTTGCTGTTGTTTTTGAATTTTCTGGTGAACCTACTGTTTTACCATCTATCTTAAAGTACGCCAACCTTGATAACAATCTCGCTTCTGATGCTTCTAATGTTTGTTCTGAACGTGAATACCAATGCCTCAACGATGCAAATCTAACATTTGGCGATCTTGATTTGTAAAAGAAAAAACGAAAGAAGACGATAAAACATTAATATGCGAATTAAACATTTAAAAAAAACAAAAAATAAAAAAAGAGGATCGATTGATAACTAACGGTGCTGGTGGAATAACGACCTGTGCCGTTGATATTAAAGTAGATGAACTACTATCGGCCATCTTGATTAATCGAAGTAAAATGATTGAAGTAATGAAATCAATCACAATTCGAATTATTATTATTTTTTTTTTTTAAGCGGAAAAAGAAATAGAAAATAGGAACTTTTTTAGATTTTTTTTTTTTTTTAAAAAAAAAAGGAAAAGGAAATAAAAGATCAAATTTTTAAACAGCCGAATTTATATAATTTTTTTGAAATATATATCAGGTTAAAATGATTTGCATAGTTGCATTATTTTGGAATGACATAATCATTCTTTTAATTACTTTAATTAATAATCCAAAAACAACCATAAATAAAAATTCGATTTACAATAATGGCTAAATTTTTCGCCGATACTTTCAAAAAAAAAATTGCCGATGCCGATATGGTTAGTTCCCTTAGTTAACAAATAAGGATATTCTTCAAAAAAAAAAAAAAAAAAATGAAATACAAAATTACACTACTCACTTTTAACCAAAAATTAAATTAATTGTGATACATACTGATCCACAAGAACCCTAAATAGAAGTTGCTTTCTAGAATTAGTAATTTACTTTGAAGTAATTCAAAAATTTTCTTGATAAAAAAAAAAAACTACCTTTTTGTGATCTTTAATAATGACAGAGGAATCAAAAGTTCGGGTTAAAATCTATGGTTCAAGTGTAGCAGGAAATATCTTTGTACGTAAATTTTAATTTATGATTCAAATACCTTCATAATCACCCTTCCCTGATCATTATTATTTTATTTTAGGTAAAGTCAAACCAGTTATGGCTTGAACAAGTACTTAAACAAAATAAAATTGATTTTGAATTTGTTGATATAGCAGCTGATGAAGACGGATTAAAATATATGAAAAGAAAAAATGGAGGCGAGAAACGTTTGCCACAAATTTTTGTTGACGGTGAATTCAAAGGAGTAAGTTTTTCCCTTTAAATCGAATGAAATAATCTTTTAACGCAAAAACTGATTAAAATTTTACTGTTGAAAATGATTAGATTTTTATAGATTTTCAAGAAGCTGTGGAACACAAGGAAGTAACAAAATTTTTAGGTTTACAAAAATGATTAGGTTAATAATTCAAGTTTAGAAATATTAATTTATTTAATTTTATTAATTGGAAATAATTAATTTTTATTAAATTATGGTTCTTTAAAATAAATAAATAAAAGAGACTTATAAAGAATATGAATTAGTAATATTGACCGGCTAATAGGTCCCTAGAGAAGGGTTGTTTGGTAATCTTTTTATTACCAGGACCGAATAAAGGTAAAGGTGGTTCATATTTCGTAAATTCTTGTAATACCCTACCACCAGGAATTAAAGCTTGTAAATCGGCTTTTGTTGGAACCTCTTCATATGCCACCTATAAAGAAAATCATGAAATACAACTCGTATAAGCGATTAAACTTTTTTTTTTTTTTAAAAATAAAATAAAATAAAATAAACTTACTGTATTATTGTAATTAACATAACTCGTGTGCAGATTTTTAACTTCTTCATATTCTTGAGTAGCATGTAAAGCAATGGTTATCAATTTTGATCTTGTTAAAAGATGAAAAGCATCTTTTGCTTCTGTAATGAATCCTACGGCTTTTCCACATTGCCTATAATGTTTTATTAATATATATAACAAAAAATTTTTTACAATAATTCGTGTAATAAACGTGGACTTACTGATGTACATAAGCATCTTGAGCAAGAAATTTCTTTCCTAATGCCTACAAGAAAAAAATATATATGTAGATATATAACCTAATTTAATTTCAAACTAGATTAAAAACTCCCAGTGATAATATAAGAACCGCTTCTGAATTTTTATCACTAACCACCCCAAAGATGTAACTTACTTGATGAAATAAAGTACCGTGGGAAACATATTTTCTAAAATCGCTACAGACTTTTGAAGGATCTTTCAAACTTTTTATTAATCCATTCGCCATTTCATAGTGTCCTGATACTCCAAACGCCAGTTTTGCAAGCAACGAAGAAGAGGTTTGTTGCATTAATGCTTTACGTATTGCAATTGAATTTGCATCAGCAAGTGCGATCCTATTTTTAAAAAAGTGTTTTTTTGTTTTGAGTATTTTGCAGATTAAAGTTTCAGTAAATGAATAGATATATATATAATTTACTTTGACATGGATGTGGGTATTTCCATTACCACATCATATGGTTTTGACACTGACTCATTATCCCATTTGGGACAAACTTCTTCTCCAATATATGCAAATATTCCTCCTGCTTTACGTAATAGATCTGCTGCCTAAAGTTCAAGAAAATTTTAAAGACCTGATGAGAAGAAAAATTAAGAAAGTCGAAATTTAATGTAATGATCACCTGTCTTAATCTTAAATCATTTTTATCATTTGGTCCTTGTCTTTCTATAATACTAGTAGCCCAATCAGCATAAGCATATCCATAAGTTAATAATACAAAAATTAATTCATAATAGATTCCTTTGCATAATACACGGGGTTTCTTTTTCAATACTGAATCACTTAATGTACAACTCCACGAAGTCTCTAATCAAAAAAAAAAAAAATTTATAAATTTCAAATACGCGATATTTCATTATCTGAAAGGAAGAAAAGGGATTTATTACATACCTATCTCCTTTTTTAATTTCAGTTGACCACCTTCAAGGCAATCGATTATACCGAATAAATATGGTAAATAATCATCAATAGTCTTTCAATATTCCAAATTAATGTAAAGAAAAAAAAAAAATTCGAATAATCATAAATACATTTAAAATAAAAATGTAAAGTTTTGAATATATATTTACCTTCAAAATTTTAGTATAGTCTTTAGGTCCGGTTTTTTTTGCTTCTTTAAGAGTAGCTCTAACCACACCTCTTTGTGCTGTTGCTTCAGATATTCTACTTAGATATAGATTATCTTCATCTAAAAGAAAATCCGACCAAGATATGGTACTTGTTGTTGGTAATGGATAAATAAAACTCATTTTATCTTTTTTATTTCTTTTTTGTTTTAGTTTTCAATCACAAAAGAAAAGGTTGATTCTCAAAAATGTCCAAAAAATTTTAAAAAATATTCATATGCATACGTTATTGATCAACAGCATTGCATAATTATGAACGACTTAGGTAAGCAGTTTAAATTTCACTGCTCCAACTAAAAAGTTGCTCGTCATGAAAATTTATCGTCGGAATTCTTTGCTTCTTTTATTTATGGATTGTAACCTTTAAAAAAACTTGGCATAATTTTTTTCCCCAAACATTACTTATATGTGAAACTTCTTGGTGATTTAATAAATTTTAAGCTTGAACAAGCCAAGCCTGATCGATAACACGGATGATAAACCTGTGCCGATTTTTTTCGAAAGATACTATTTACAAAGACCGTCGTGTAACCAACCTTCCAAAGGTATTAATCATGTGATTGATCCGACCAAATTAAAGATAAATTTATGATACGGCAAGCAAAAGAATACAACTTCATTTATCACCAATACCAGCGTCTTTCATAGGAATACGTACAACAACAGGCATTTGAGGCTCTGGAACGTTAATAGCCTCGGATGAATCGGAATTAAAATCATTATTATTCGTCGTATTTGAAATGGTTTGTTCGGTCACGCCTGAACCTTTCCCTTTCATTTGAGTTTCTTGTAATAAAAAAAAAGGGTATATTTCACGTAAAAGATTCAAAACGATGAAACTTGAAAGAATTGAATTGAATTGAAAATATACCTGGTAATAATACTGATCTAAAAACGGTTTGCCAATTACGAAGTACCGTAGCAACAGCTAAAATCAAAACGGAATTTGTAATAAATGATTCACGAACCGAGCAATCGTTTAATCATTTCCCCCAAGAAATTAAATTACCTTCACAACCATTACTTAATTCTTCAATATTATTGGCCAATTGATCAAAATAATTTGATAAATTTTGAGAAGTTTTCTTAAGGATTAATAAATTATCAAATTCTTGTTGTTTTTCCTGAAGTTTTTGGGTAAGTAAAACTTGTTTCGCCGTTGGTATATTAATGGGTATTTGTTGTTGTCGTTGAGTTTGTGATTGTGGTTGCGGTTGCGTTTGTGATTGCGGTTGAGGTAGCGGTTGCCTTTGTTGCTGTTGTTTTTGTTGCAGCTGCCTTTGTTGCTGCTGTTGTTGCCTTTGGTGAGTTTGTGGTGGCTCTTGCTGGTAAAGCTGGTGAAGTTGTAAAGGAGGAAGATATTTAACCGTTGTTTCCGTGTTTGGTGTTGCTTGTTGTTGTAGTTGTTGGACGAATCGATTCCTAGGAGCAGTTTGTTGCGAGACATAAAAAGGATTTTGATTATTGGCTGTCATTGTCAGGCGAGCTATTGACGTGAAATGAAAAAAAAGTTGGAAAGTAATAACAAAATGACGCGCTTTAAAAAAAAAATTTTTTTGACCGAATTACCAAAAATTACTAAATTTGATAATTCCGGGCGGATAATTTCATTAAAAATTTCCCGATTAAATAAATATCCGGTTATCTTTATTTGTTTATGAAAAGATATGATATACATAAGGTTTATTTTTTTTTTGTCAAAAAACAACAAACATCTTTTTAGTCGGTTAAAATTTTTCTTTGTGAAAAGAATGCTCCGGGATTCCACAAGAAGAAATGAAAGATAACGTAAAACGCATATCGCAAGATTAATCGATATTTATTCGCCCTTAACGACATTCTCCCATAACAAACAATACCAAAAAATGCACCATATAGGATCTAAGACAAAATCGTACAAAAAGGAAATAACAATAACAATAATGATAATAATGAATGATAAAGATAAGAAGATTGAGTATTTAAATATTTTTTTCCTTTATTTTTAGTAATGTATAAAGTCCCTTTTGTTGTTCGGTTATTTGTTGAATGATTTTGTTGAGCGAATTTAGAAAGCAAAGTTGTGGATGGACAATCAAAAATTGTTGTGGCATACGGATATCGGATTTAATCAAAAGGTTTCAAAATTGGAAATTTTTGCCACATCAGTCATGTGACTTTTGCACCAATTATTGGTACCTCGAGTACCCAGGGAAACTATTGACTCGAAGCTTCTATTTATAAATTCAGGTTTTCGATCTGGTTAGGTACATTGTTAGTTGTAGTACTCCCATTTTTCTTTATATTGCGTGATAATTATTTGTTAAACTTTAATATGATAAAAAAATAAAAGGTCCAACAAAAGTTAACCATTTCCTTTTAATCATAAAACTTGAAACAAAACCGGAGTACGCACAAAGAAAAACAAAAAAAGTATTAATCATAAGATTTCGCGAATTTAATGGAGAAAGGGAAAAAAAAAAATAGGTAAACGCCATTTAAAAACATAGTAATCAATTTCTATAAGATGTATATGATTTGAAGTTAATGTAACATCTAAGGTACTCCTATCGTCCGTCATCTTGACCCAATTATTCAATTGGAAATTCTTGTTATTATTTATATTGGATTTGGGAAAGGTAATGTATGTAATGTCATGTGAATACATTAAATATGCATTGAACCATAAATGTTAAAAAACGTGGGATTTAATTTATATTTATGATGCTCTTTTATTCCATTGTAAACATCAAAGTTATTATTACGGAAAAAAGGCTTTTTTTTTTTTTAAAAAAAAAAAAAGAAAAAGGAAGGAAATCTAATCAAGTTTTCATTGAAAAAAATATTAAACCCTTTTTTAATGTGAGAAATGTGAGAGATATTTAAGATAACTGGAATATGAGGAAAAAAAAAAAAATATTTTTTCCACTTTGAAATAAATTCATTAACATCATCAAATTTACATGACATAATGAAAATATATATAATACATCTTAATACTTTTTTTTTTGATTCCCCAACACCCCAACAATAAAAATAAACGAGTGAATCTTCTTGATTTGTGTGCCGCAGCACACATAATTTTCTGTTGTCACAAATGAAATTTTAATTTTAAAATAATATAATTCCCACCCCAAAAAAAAATTTCAATTATTTTTTGCATGGCATTAATTATTTCCTCAAATCAGTTAAAGTATAATTTCAAAAGGTAAAGAAAGTGATGCAAAGTCAAAGCGAACCTACTTGAATAAAATTATCAATGATTAGATTATAATACATTAAATATGTTATTATATAATACATCTGTATAGTAAAAAAGAAGGGAACCTTATGATCGTATCGTAAGTACATTTGGCGTTATGCATTCATTAAGGAAACTAACTCTCTTGACTTGGATAGGTCATTTTACAATAAAAAAAAAAAAGAATTATGTTAGGCTGGCAAACCATATAATTTTTCTTGTTTAGGAAAACATTCGTTTCAATTTCTTTTACACTTACCTCCTATCTTTTGGTTTTACCAAACTGCGAATCTTTTTTTTACTGAAAGATTTATAATAAAGATGTGATATAATTATTATTTCAACTGATACAGTTGTCCCACTTTGATTCTTTAGGTAGAATTCAATGAAGAATCGGGAAAACGTTGTAAAACTTTCAAATAAGTGATCAGTCAATTAGGAAAAGAATTGATGACAAGATAAACGTTTGTGTGTATCTTTAAAGAAAAAAAGAACAGAAAATAAAAAAAAAAAAAAATATCAACCCTGGTTTGACCTAAAATAACTTTCTATTTTCGGATTGTAAAGTAAAGATATTTTAATTCAAGACATGTGTCCAAATTTGTATTCAAAGTTACCCAAGTTACTCAATGTTTTGGTACATCATTGAATTTTTTTCATATTAAACGTATTGCGGTAAATAATTTTACACCGGATCCTTCGGGATGTAGAAAATTTTTTTATATTAGGTAAAACAAAAACTTAAAGGATGCTGTGCTTCGTTTGGCAATAAACACTAAAACCCCGCCCCATCAAAATAAAAAATCTCATACTAATTAAAGTTTAATACATTTTTATATCAGTCTACTTTAACCCCGTAAATTAAAAATATTGTGTATATATTATTGTTGTACCTTCTTATCAGTATTATAAAAAGGCTTGGAAAACGTCGTCGGTGGAATTTCCCTCACCTCCTCGACTTTCGATTTTTTTTTTAAATTTTATATATTACTGTTAACTTTTCATACCTCGCAAATTTTTCATTGTACATAAACCGATTAATTATTCTTCCCTTTTTTGTATTAATATTTAAAAGGATAATTTTTGTTCTTAACCAGAAGATTTAATTTCCTTGGACCTTTTGTAAATAGAAATTCGCAAAGTTCTTGTTATTTCTCTCGTTCTTCAAACAAACACCTGACAAAAAAAAAAAATAAAAAAGAGAATATATACAGGTTTATATATTATCAAAAAAAAAAAAAAAAAAATTTTTTGAAATCTTTTTATTGTAAAAACGATAAATTTATTATAAATGGCCACTTCCTTTGGAACTCTCGTTCAAGACTATGTCAATACCGTTACTTCTCGACAGTCAAATAATGAACCGCAAGTCTCTGCCTCTCGGTTAGAACCTTCGTCATCGTCGTCCGTTAATAATGACCTTAATTCACTACGACCTGCGCTGGTTCAATCATATTCGAACCGAAGCTTTTTCCGAAGAGCCTGGGATACGGTTGAAAGTAGGTTTTATTTTTTAATGAACGTTATACGATCTATCGATCGCACGTGACGCAATATTAACGTTTTGTCTCGCACCTTCCAAAATAGGCATTTTCATTCAAAAGAATGATGTGAATTTACCCGTATATTACAACAATTACGAAAGAGAAGAGAATGAAGATGACGATACAGCAAATGAATTCATTCATCCAAATCCATATCATCAGCCACTTGCTCGTGCGGACGCGTTTAGGGCGCCCGTACATAAACGAAGGTTATCTGCACACTCGGACGAATTAATCTCCGGTGAGCTACCTTAACGATACCTATTTCGTAAATTTTTTTCGCGCTAGGTTCACCGTAACTAACCTTGTTGAAAATTATCTTTAGTTATGCCAGATTATAGTTCAAGGTCATCATCATCTGAATGGCCTGTCCGGCAAACATATGAAGATTGGCAACGTGATCAAGGTGAGCTTGACATTGAAGAAGCAAATATTAAAGATTTGATTTCTGGTTGGGCTATGGGTGAGGGTCGCCCGTGGTTCGATTAAATTTTTATCTTTTGGAAGAATTGAATTGGTGAGTTTCTTTGTTTTACAAGCCTAGTATCAGGACTTTTCACTTTTTCAATGATTTTATCTAAGATCAAATTTTATTCTTTAGGTTGATTCCGACCGAATTGTAGAAATTGTATTATTTACGGCCTAAATCAATTCGTTATTCTATCACGAGCATAATAAACGTTTAATAATGTAGTAATATATCGTATATATGGCTCTCTGTAATTATTTTTTTTTTTTTGCATCGGACATTGATATCTTACATTTTTACATTATATTATATTATATTATTTATATACCATTTTCCCCTCCCCATTTAACAAATAATTAATTTCGCATTTTTCTTCAAATTTTTTTTTTTTTTCATATTTATATATATATATGATATAAGCACACACACATATATATATATATCAATTTTTGGTGTTCGGATGAAGGTTTCGAGGATGGATAGAATATGTATATTTTTTTTTCTTTAATAATAATTATTTTGTATCATTTTTTTTCTTTTCCCTTTTTTTTGCCCTATATTTAGACATAAAACTTTGTAAAGATTTCCATATATATATATATATATATATTATAAAAATCCTTTTTCACATTATTATATATATGTTAGTATCCTATTAATTGAATTTAAGAAATTAACAAGGGAAAGATGCGCCTTAAAATGATATAATGACGCGTAAATTATGTTTTCAATGAATCTTTACGCATCGTTATTACTTTTAAAGTCCAAATCAATTTTTATTAAGTGTCAAAAGTTCTCTTTCACACGCGTTTAAAAGATTGATACGGATAAATTATTCTTTTAAAGAAAAAATTTACATGATTACTCGAACGCGACTAATGAGTTTTATTATTATTATTATTTTATCGTTTTTTTTATTTCTTTTTCATTTTTATTTCTTTTCATGTTTTTTTTCTTTTCATTTTATTTTTCTTCATTCATTTTTCATTTTTTTTTTTCTTTCTCATTTTTTTTTCATTTTCCTTTTTTTTTCCTTTACTACAACAAAAAAACAAAAAAAAAAACAAAAAAAAAAAAAAATTACAAAAAAATTCATTTCATCATCCCTTCCTCATATAGCAAAAAAAAAACCCCCAAGTCTATATAGTTGATTTTCATATTCACATTATTTTTTTTTTTTTGTCTATTAGTTCTAAAAGTTTTTTTTTTTTTTTTGGTCAAAAATTGAAATCTTAACGGTCCCCATGATTGTAAATAAATAATATTTTTTTTTTTTTAGTTCAATGATTGTACGATTATTTTTATTTCAATATGCAAAAAGATATTTCGTTTACGTTATTTCAAAAAATAAATAAAATCAAACACCCTTCCTTAATCATCCATCATTTATTTCTCTTTTCGCACAGTTCCGAAATCAGAAACAAAAAAAAAAAAAAGAGAAAAATCTTGATTCCTAATCTTGATTCCTCATCTAACGAAGCACAAGCTAGCATTTGTTCCACCAAATCCAAAAGAATTGGTTAAAGCGGCCCTTATACCATTTCCATCAACCTTTTGAGATTTTAATGGCACATAATTAAAATCGTTGAACTCTGATGGATCACCCGATGAATGTAAATTTAATGTTGGCGGAAGAATATTCTGATTGGGTATTTTTGAAATAAAAGATGGCGATAAATGCGAATGGGGAATGGGGTAGATAAGAACAAAAAAAAAAACCTGGTTAGTATATGTGATTTTTAGTAAACAAAGGTATAAATTTTCACGCGATTATTTTCCATAATCACGTTTTTAAAATGAAATCAAACTTAAAGTTTCCAAATTCCTCCAATAAAATTCCTTCGAGATAAAAAAAAAGGGGGGGGGAATATTTTAAATAATAAAGTTCAGAAATTTTTTTTTTTTTTTTTAAGAAAAAAAAAAATCTCTCTAATTTAAAATTCTGAAATTCCGAGAAAAAATGGTTTCTGAAACAGAAAATAATGAAAATCTTGTACAAATTAAGAATCAGAATTGAGTTGCAAAAAAAAAAAAAAAAAAAAATTGATTATCATCACACCACCAGTACAAAGAAAATCTTTTCTTATTGAAATTACTATCATCATTTATCTTCGCAAGCTAACCTTAGATTTTGAGGTATCATTCCACATTTGTTAAACCACGCCAAACATTGACAAAAATTCACACACAAAATGTGTCACTGCCACTATCATTTCAATTCATTCTTCAACATTCTTTGATTAGCAAACAATATATTTTTTAACCTCACATTGCACACATATTATCTCACTTCCTGTCGTGTTCCAAAACTCTTATTATCCTTAAACCATTTCCCCTAATATTATTTGAACTTAATATCTTTTCCAATTTCGATTTTCATGATTGTCCAAAAAAAAAAAAACGTGGCACAAACTTACATTATAGATCGCCAAAATTGTAAAGATCGCTTCAACTGCCCCGGCAGCTCCTAATAAATGTCCAATCGATCCCTTAGTTGAAGATATTGCTAATTTCTTATTATCCCGAAATATTGATTTTATAGCTCGATTCTCGGCAATGTCACCTTGATTATTTATGTTTCCATTACACAAGTTAAAAACGTCTTATTTTTAGAATTCGAATACTATATTTAGAAATAATAGTTTTTTAAGGGATACCTAGTATAGTTGAAGTTGCATGTGCATTGATATAATCAATATCTTCTGGCGTTAATTTAGCATGATATAATGCTCTACGCATTGCTAATTCGGCGCCAATACCATCCCCAGGAGGGGCCGTAATATGATGAGCATCCCCTTATTACAATATATAATATATGATATATAATTTTAAGTTGACGGAACTTAATAAATCGTAAAGAATTGTTGATATAAAAAGGATGAGATGGGGTACCGGATAAACCATATCCACGCAGTTCGGCATAAATCTTTGCTCCTCGATTAATTGCGTGATTATATTCTTCGAGTACCACCATTCCGGCTCCCTCTCCTATAACAAATCCATCCCGATCTGTATCAAACGGCCTTGACGCCTGTTCGGGTCGATCATTATACTTGGTTACCAAAGACTTTGCTCTAGCATAAATAAATTGTTTTATATATATATAATGTAAATATAACATTTTCGTAAAAATAGATTTCATCCCTTATTAATCAATCCTCTCCCCCAAGAATTAATTACGCACTTTGCAAATCCTGCTATGGCTAAAGGCAATACACATGCTTCAGATCCTCCTGCTACCATAACATCCGCATCTCCAAATTGTATAAATCGACTTGCATCTCCAATCGAGTGAGCTCCTGTTGTACATGCCGTTGACGCTGCATGATTTGGACCCTTGAAATTTTCATACCCCGGATTAATAGATCCATTTGACCTCCCCGAAAAACCTCTTAAAAAAAACTTACACGAAATCCATATTTCATTGTTAAATGCCCCGCTGCCATGTTTATCAGGATCTTTGGTACAAACATAGGACTAACTTTTCTCGGTCCCTTTTCAAAGAAGGAAAGGAAGATATATTTAATAATAATATCTCTCTCCATCATAACAATGAAAGGAAAAATCTGTTATGATTTACGTAAGCGTTATACGTCATGGTGGTCGATATAACATCTTCAAGACTACCAATTCCTGATCCTATACAAACTCCCTTTAAAATTAATAAATAAATTAAAAATATTTGTAACCAAAAAAAGTATGTAAAACCATTTGTACGTACTGTTCGATTTCTCTCAGGAACAGACGTCGGTTTCCATTCTGCATCATTTAATGCTTGCTTTGCTGCACAAATGGCATATTGTGAAAATAATGCCATTCTACTTTCATCCTAATAAATAAAGAACTAGTATCAAACAATAATACTTTCAGAATATGAAGGAATGAATCTTCGTCTTTTTTTTTTTTTTTTTTTTTTTAAAAAAAAAAAATAAAGATTTAAAAAAATTTAAATAAATACAGATCAGTCAATTTAAATTTTTATTTATTTATTATAACTGAAAAATTTCCTGATAATTACCCCACGATCCAGCCACTCTTTTGAATCAAACCCACCGTTCTCATATTTACCAGGTTTAACAACACCAGCTATAGTTGAAGGTAGCTCATTAAACACCCCTTTTTCTTTTTCGTAATATGGTAAGATCATTAAATTATTTTCATCAATTCGTGTTTGTTGATTTGATTTTAAAGATATTATTCCACTTTCACCATTTATTAATTTTTTCCAAGAAAGTTTCACTCCTGTCGCTAATGGTGTTACTAAACCTAACCCTGTTACCACTACTTTACGTGTAGACATTGCTTCGTTATCTGCCGGCTGTTTGTTAAATATATAAAATGAAAAAATCTCTGATGGAAAGATTTTTTGGATCTAATCCAACGATCGACACCTATGAGATCCGTCAATTATATTTAGTAATTGAACGCGTGTTTTAAACAAGATTTAACAATGGTTTCCTAATTAGTCCGGAACGAAGTGAAGGACTATATATGTCAATAATTGACAAAAATCTCGATAAAGCAAATACCAACGTGAATTTTTTTTTTAGTTAAGATCGCTTCGGACTTAACCAAGTTATCATGAAAAAAAAAATACTTTAGTAAATAAATTAGATTAGGAATTTAGCCGGAATTAGATTTATAATTTTGCCAAATATACAGTTCCAAACCTCTATTGAAGAGGATTTAGGTTGAAAGTAATGAGACTCCATTTTTAATTAAAAGAAAATGTTGATTATTTAATTGGATATAAAAGACTATTTCTTTTATATTTATTATTCGTTTTAGGAACAAGCCTTAACATTCCTTATACTTTATTCCATAAGATTGTAACCATTGCTTCGATTCCGAATTAAATAAAATCAAAATTTTTTTTAAATTGAATTTTGATTGGTCACCAAAAAGATTTAACAATTAACATAACATAAACTTTTCCGTTGATAAAAACATTTTCTAATATTTCTCAACTAGGTTTCCACCTCACATAACATATAAACATCGGAAACATCATTGCTCTACTATTTTCGTAAAAGCATCCAAGTAACTAAAATGATAGGGTCTTAGTTTTTCATCATGGCACAAGTTATTACCTACTATTCGATAAAACATACTCGTATTTTGACACGTGATAAAAATTAAACCACGTCGGAATAGCAATTTTACGTTAAAAATTTCAATTCGATATGGGAAACTGCCGGAAAAAAATCAATTTTTACTTTTATATGTTAAATATGATTTTTAAGACAAAATCATTGTTAATTTTTCTTTTCTATTGCAAAGGTCCCATATTATATTTGTTTTAAATTTTCCAACGATAAATCGAATTCTTCCGTTAGCAGAAATCAATTTTTTGCAAAGGGCAGTAAGATCGCTCCGACGGTCCCCATTCCCTAGTGCTAACTTTGAACATATTTTGGTCCAAAAATCATATTTGACATATAAAAGTAAAATTGATTTTTTCTATTGCAAAAAGTCCCATATGATTTCTGAAGCGAATTTCCCATCGTTAGCGTAGCTTTCCAAATAGATTATTTTCTAAATGAACAAATGAATGTAAAAGACTAGGACAAAACGTTGGTTATGATGACAAAGAATTCGATATCGTCGAGGAAGAGAAGGGCGAATTTTTTTCTTTATTGTTAAACAACATAATTTCATACCCTAAGGTGGGAATTATCGGATTTGATTATAAGTTGCATCTTGCCGATCGGCCAAACGGGAAACTTGGTCCGCGTAATAAAATTTCGAATCCCGATTTAAAAAAATCTTTTCCCTCAAAAATGTATTTAAAATTATGTTTGCCACGGTCAAATTTTATCACTGTAAAAAATTCTTTAACAAATGTTAAGCCCTTTTGCTTCTCAGAATGTATTAAAGTGGTGAGTTGATAAAAAGAAACTGTTGGTAAATTTGACCTTACATAAGTGTTTTATACATTTTTTCCTTAGTCATGTCCACATGTAAGAGAATATGCTTCCAAATCCAAGAAAAGGAAAAGGGAAAAGATCATGACTGCAATAGCCATTCCCTTAGTTGATGCAGTTAATGTACTCAAGGTATAACAATAAATTTTGATATGTTTTTAATTTAAATATATTTCTTTATTAAAAGTTCTTGTTCTCTAAAATTATAATAATTAGGCGCATGAAACAACTTATCCGAATAGGACTTTAGAATTACACGTAAAAACTAAATTAGAAAAGGGAAAGGCGCCAATAAGAGGCTCTATATCTTTGCCAAAATCAATAGCTAAAAAAGTTTCATGGATGGTTTTCGCAAAGGTAAATTAACTTTGTTCATAATCGTTTATCTGTTAGAACATTTCCTCTGAAAAAAAAAATTTTTTTTTTTTTTTTAATTATAGGGTGCGAAAGCGGAAGAAGCCAAGGCTGCTGGAGCACATGTAGTTGGTGGCGAAGAATTAATCGCGGAGGTATCTTATTAATATTTTCAAAAAAAAAAATTTTTTTCTTTCAAGGAATTCGGATGATTTGTTAATTCAAAAATTAATATAAATGATAGATTACGGAAGGAACTTTCAATATTGGAAATATTGATAAATGTTTATCAACGCCAGAATTATATACATCGGTAACAAAAATTGCAAGAATTTTAGGACCAAAGATGTTAATGCCTATGGCAAAAAGAGGTACAGTTACCGATGATATTGCCGGTACTATACAAAGGATGGACGATAAACATAGTTTTAATAGTGATAAACTTGGTTGGGTTCATACTGGTAAGCTGAGACTCAACTTGGTTAAGGTTCTTCTTTAATATATGATTAATTTACTTTTTTTTTTTTTACAGGAATTGGAAAGGTTTCTTGGTCGACTAAAGAAATACAAGGTTAGTATTTTTATCCGCTTAATGATATATATAAATATGTTTCAAGGCCAAAATCTCATTTATTGCAAATACAGATAATATTCAAGTTATCTTGAGGGAGATAGATAAAATTGGTAAAGATCAAGGTATTAAGAGTAGTAAAAAAGGTATGAAGTGATTATTTTTAATAATATATATATATTTTTTTTTGCTCAAAATTTTCAAATCGTTAAATTCTAAATTTTTTTTTTTAGCTGGATTTATTGAAAAGATTGCAATAAATCCAAATATGGGACAATCTATACATTTACTTGATTTTAAAGATCTTTTGGAGACTCCTTCATTTATAAGGTGAAATGTGTATTGAAGACATTTATTTACAGACAAGATTTGGGATAAATATTATTTATTAACAAGTAAAATCAAACAAATCATTCTTAACCGTCAAGATAAAAATGTTTAAATCACTTTTGTAATAATAAAGGGTCCGAAGACTATGTACTAAACAAATAATAAATAAAAAATTTCTAGGCTATACATAATCGAGTAACATCTTCAGAGATATCATTACTATAATTACATATTTGTATCCTGTGTATATAATAAAAAATGCATATGACTTTGAATGTCTTTTGAAATCAAGAGGAAGTGGTTCTCAAATCGTTTTCGAACTCTTCAATATTCAATTTTGCCTCCTTATTATTAATATTTACATTATTTGTATCATCATAATTATCATAATCTTTGCCGCCTTCGGCATTTCCCCCTTTATTAATGATTTCAATATAATTTGATGGAAACATTCCCTGTTCACCATTTCTTAATCTGCCTCTCCACCATTGTGAAGGATTTCCCCATAAATCAGTTTTACTTAAAATGGCGATAATATCACCTTTAGCAAAACTTAATTCAACATTTGATTCACCTCTAAAATCATAAATAGCTCTACAAAAATCAAAGTTTTGTGGTTGAGAAGGATTTATTTGAGATACAGGGGCGGTAATAATTTCCGAATTATTACCAGCACCTTCAGGTGGTATACTACCATCAAATAATTGTTGTTCTTGATGCCTTCTTGAAATAACTTGAATAAACTTGTGCATTAAATATGGTACACCGAATACTGCGAGTATGAAAAATAATATAGGGCGACGAGAATATTTTGCACGTTCTTGATATTGTTGAAAATTACTCGGAGTTAATTCACCTGAATTAACTGGAGGTCTTTTTCCCGTAATCTTATACCATAAGTGTCGTATCCATCTAATTAAAGCGAATACGCTTAATACTTGTCCCAAGTAATTACGTAGATTCCCAAATTGTTCTACTACTCCGACCATTGCCATAAATGATGAATGTGTTGCAAAGAATGTAGATTCCAACATTTGTGAAAATCCACCAAATGCTCCTACTACGGATTCTATCATATGAAATCCTGCCGCAGTGTTCGCTTCCATCCTTTGTGTGAGTGACAACTCTTCAGGCATCCCCGGACCGCCCGGACCGCCCGGTCCACCCGGTCCCATCATATACCCAAACCGATTATATGGCGAACCGCCGTATGAACCATATGAACCATAAGATCCACCATATGATCCACCATATGAATTATAAGAATTATAGCCGCCGTATCGGTTATATGGAGAATATGTGGATGATCCGTAGCGACTATACGGTGTCCCATATCCTCCATATGATCCATAATTTGTATACGGACTACTATATCCTCCACTATTCGCTCCATAAACCCCACCTGTACCATATGAACCATAACCTTTTTACATTAAAAAATAAATTAGAATTAATTCAAAAGATCTATTCGAATGAAACAAAAAAAAGTCGTTAGATCATTTACTTCTATTCGCGAATCCAGAAGACTGTGTGGAAGGTCTTGCTGGAACAGCAGGAGGGATGTTAGAAGTTGATGTACCAGCTAAATTTTGTTGTGTCGTCGTATTTATTAATGGTGATCCACTGTTTGTTGTAGTCCTCGTGGCCGTTCCAGTTCTCTCCCAAGGTTTCGGTGGAGAAGGCATTACAATTACAATTGAATTTTTTATGATAAATTACAAAAAAAAAAAAATTAATTTTAAGAATGTTTGACGCCAAAATTATGTGACGACAAAAAAAAAAAAAAACTCGCTGAAATTCACGGAAAATTTCGGAAAATTTCAAGCAATCGAATAATGCTTGGCGCAGTTTACACATCTTTTATGATTGGTTAGATTAGTCTGCACAACATGTGTTATTCAACAACATCAACAACCAGCAACAACCAGATCGGCGGTTACATGGGTTACATGCAGTTGCTACCTTAACAAAATCAGCAGACTTCATCAAAAAAACTGAAGTGTTCTCTCAACGTAGGTTATTTATCGTTAATTTACTTTTTGAACACGCATAAATATCAAAAATGATGGAATATGAGGACGTTTTAACTAATCAGCCTGTTGTCATCGACAATGTATGTATTTAGTTTTGTTCAC